GAAAAACTGAAGAGTTACCTATAATTTTACCAAATTTGGCAAAAGTTTTTGGTGTCATAAGATACGTTACACTTATTTGAACTATAATTATATATTTTTTGATGTTTTTTAAGTAAATTATATAGGTACTTTTTTGGGAACTTATAAGAAACTTCAAAATTAAAATGAAGAATATTCGCATTCTAAGCATAGTCTTATTTTTAATCAGACTCTTCAGTTGTTCTGTATCCCTTTCTCAATGAGACACCTTGTATATAAACTTCCCACTTGAACAATTTTATATTTTTCAAGTATGTACAATACAGGTGTATCAGAAATTAAAGCAAAACGATAACTTATAACAAAGGTTTAAATTTAGTAATGTCAAGTCATCATATGATGGTGGGTGAGGTTTATGATGGTGGGTGAGGTTTTCCGGGTTTTCCTCGCCTGTAAGTCAAATGGCACCATCAATCATCCTTAAGTCGCCCCGGAGCGCCACGGCAAATAATAATAGCCGTCCCTTCCCCTACACAAGTCGTTCAGTCGACTTCAGGGGTTGAAATTCACTCGTAAGGGGGTGAATTAGGGAGAGTATTATTATTATATTATTATTATTATTATCCTTGCACCCTAAAAAAGTACCAATGAAGAAATTATTCCTCCAATGCAACCAAATAGTTATTTTTAGGATAAGATTGTGTGTCAAATGTTATCCACAGCCACAGGGTTTCTTTTTAAATGGCATGACATTCAAAATTTTGGTCAAAACAATTTTCATCATGCACTTATTTTGGAAATTCACAATGCTTTATTAGGATTAAAAACACCAGTTTCTAGAAACTTTTTCACTATAACACTAACATTACTGATCGGAAAAAGTGGTTAAAGTTTTCTTCTTGTAATCACAAATCGCAACTGAATGCCTATTTTTAAAATAAATTATCTCTATAATTCCATTTGTATAGTTGTATGCTGTGCATCTGTGAGATTGTTGTTTATTATACATATGTACCAATTATAGAAATCTTTAGTAAGTACTTGCTTGCAATTTTAGTAATATATGTACCTACCCTATATAATTAATTATTTCAAACATAAATAAAACCAACAACTATTATCTGAGTCTTTTTAGTTCCGATTGGTTTTGACAGAGTAGTTTTGATCATGGTTTTTTTCCATCTACTTTTTACCATAAAGTCATACCTAGCTGAATTTTTGGTCTTTTTAAACTTTTGACTGTAGCGGGTCATATTTTTAATGTATGTCATCTGCAGCAGAAAGACCTACATGTTTTACATTTAAAAGTAATTAGTTGTCCTTTCTACAAACTCGGCTGTATTTTTACTGAAATATATTTATTCACAATTCACGTAGTGGTTTGCATAACATATATAGTTTAAATAGACTGCTTATCCATACGTAAATAAAACGATGAAAAGCGGGTCGAACTGGGAGATGTTTTCTCTTTGTCTAGTGCATGCAATGTTTGTGTTTTGTCTCAATTTTGAGTGCTCACTGGTAAACAAAACTTTCACAGGACCGGTTTTAAAGAAAGTTTAGTCTAGTTGAGATTTTGTTCTCATTGTCATTACTCAGTCAAACATTTTGTTGAATTGTTTATTTTATTTAGTTTTAATTATACTTATGTTCTGTTTTTAATTATTTTTTTATTATTTGAGTATAAAAACTTGTTTTGTTTTTAAATTTAAATGGTGAATTGCTCTATAAAGGGTTGTAAGACCAGCTACAGAAATATAAAAACATTTCATTTTTCACGGAAGTATCAATACAAGTATGTACAAGGTAAATACGTTTATAATAATTTTATGAATTATAATTAATTATAATAATAATATTAATAATAAAGTATTTATTGTAAATACAATTACATAAATATTATTATATTCAAAGGCCCGAGTTAGAGCTATCTGGGCTTTACAAGTACATTTTAAAATTTAGATACAGAGAAGTATCGTATAATAAAAACTCAATATAAATAGAAGAAAAACGGACATAAGTACCAATACAGAGAGACAAACACTTTTATTATTTGATAGGTTCTTTCTATGTGAATTCTAGCTCTGGCAATTTTGGCATTAAGTAAAGCCTCTTGATGGCTGAACTGATTTTTTTTATTGAGGAAAGGAGGCTGTATAATTTGTATACCTTCAGCTTCTGTTATGTTTCCAATAAGAAAACCTTTGTTAAACATTTTACTATCGAGAAATGATTCACACACTTCAAGTATTGAACTTTGTTAAAAAATGTCTATTTCTGAAGTTCTACTACCATATGCTTCACTTTTGTAAGTAATGAGACCAGTAGGTGACACTCCAGTCAATATTTTAATAGTATGCCTCTTTTTGTAGTCAGAGTAATTTTTTAGCCTACAACAAAGACATTTGGCTTGCTGTATTGGGATTTCGGTACAATCAAGTAGTACTCTTACTTACATAGAGGCACATATTTTAATATTTCTTGTTTTGAAACCGAATTATACCATACTAAGAACTTCTACCAGTTTTATTAAAAAATGTTAAAAAATTTAATGATAAAAAGTTTCATTCACTCCAAATAAAATGGATAAGACATTATATCTTGCATATCAGTTTTCAACTTCATAAAAGTAAATATAACTTGATCCTTTACAGACATAACTGATCTCCTTTTTCCTATTCTTTAGAAACAACGAATTTCACAATGGTGGCTAATAACTGGAAGGATTGCAATCCTATTAAAGTAGATAGTTCTTTATCACTGATAATTCTGTTTGAAAACGGATCAACTAAATCACCACTCTTCACTTGTGTTGAACAATCGATCCCAATTTTCTGCTTTTAAACGAAGTTTTGTAAATTAAGCAAAGCTCTTCAGCAGCACACAAATCTTCATTATCTGCTTCAGTAGTAGATATATGTTCATTAACTGCAAAAACACATTAAACATAATAATAATAATTAACTAAACATTTTAAATTATGCATACATACATCCATTGACTGAAGAAGATAACTCAACACTTAACATTCTACTAGTACTGGCAACATATCATTATTTAAAGACAGTAGCTATAATTCTTGTTTTAGCTGGATTACTTTTCTTTTTATTAATAGTCGCTTTCTTTTTACCACTAATCTGAGCTAACTTACATCGACTAAGCTTAGTTGTACGTTCTTTTTGTGATTGTAAGTCAGAATCTTTCTTTCCCCCTTACCGATGCTAAACGGATCTTGACGTCAACTAAGATTGCACTTTGTACCTAGTTCATTTTGCTATGATGTTGATCAGATTTCCACTGGTGGAATCTTATTATTATTCATCAAATCATTCACATTCACCGCCAAAATATTCCTTAATTGTCTAAAGGGAACAAATTTTAGAATGTGAAAAAGCTACTAACTTTTAGTAAAATCTTTAAAAAGTTCATTCAATTTTTGCATAATATCTGCTTTTATATTGCGAAATAAATTTTAAAAGAATAATCAAGTGTCCAAATAGTGCCAATGGTCGTAATCTAAAGTTAATTATATACACATGAGTGTAAAATTGTTTATATCTATCTTCAAAATTGGTTAGATCTCTTAAAATGTTTTGAAAATTGGGAAACTAGACGTTATGACTCAAAATCATTTTTTAAAATATCTAACGCAAGTCCTGTCTTGAAATAAACATACAGATAAATTTTTTTTTAATTCAATTCCTACTTTGATGAAATATGAGTTTTAAACTCATTTGGGCCAGACCGATTCTGCCTGGTGAGCACTTGGCAAGCCAAGCAATATGACCCGCTTTTCGTCGTCTTGTTTATATATGGATGAGCAGTCTATTAATCTATATATGTCATTGAGTGGTTTGGTTTTTGGTTTGGTAATTTGATGTCATAATTCTCCTCATTGTCAGATTTTGACATTGGCAGCTTTGATCAAGACAAGAAAGCCCTTGAACGAAAAATCGTAGTTCGGGTTTTAGTTTTAAAGCACAAAGAGATTAACAAATCTGATGCACAGTATTATTCGAACGTTGATTTTCGATCACACAGGTCATATATCGGACGGTTTCGGCGAAGACAGAACAATATAATAATATTAATCTCTTTTATGGTCTTGGCATTGGCTTGGTCGGAAAACGGTTAATAAATAATAATAATAATAATAATAATACTCTCCCTAATTCACCCCCTTACGAGTGAATTTCAACCCCTGAAGTCGACTGAACGACTTGTGTAGGGGAAGGGACGGCTATTATTATTATTTGCCGTGGCGCTCCGGGGCGACTTAAGGATGATTGATGGTGCCATTTGACTTACAGGTGAGGAAAACCCAGAAAACCTCACCCACCATCATCAAGACGATAATGTATGGCTATTTTATAATCTGCATGTCATATCAATAGAAATTGAATTTCTATTAATACGGCACACATCAAATCCTAAACCGAACCATGCAATTTAATTAAGAATCCACATGGTCTGGTCTGGGAATAATACTAAATAGTGTAGAAATCATAATTGCGCAATGTCATCAAATTAATTTCGAATCGATCATGTTGAAACAAATCTTAGGTAAGTAAGTCATTTAAAAGTTGTAATTCTGCATACGGACTTTAATTATATTTGAATATGACCCTGCTTAGTCAACCATTTAAGCCACGCCCAGTGGGGTCATTTTTAATAAAACGTATCATATGCAAAACAATTGCCTCATGGCATCTCCATTAGTATTATACCTCCATGATTTAGAGAGAGGGGCACCTTTTGAAAACAGAGATAGTCCTCCTTACCTCTACATTCCATAGTTTCCACTCACTCCAGAAATATATAGCACCAAGTTTGTTGTTATTTTGAGTCTAAGTAAAACTATAGCAACCATTAATGCCACAAGACAAATCGAAACTTCAATTTTAATAGTTGGATGATCGCGGACCAAAAGTGACGTGCTGGACGGTCGTTCCTGGACGGTCGATCGTCGATTGAACAGTTTGATTTTGCCCTTACTTACCTAATTTAAAGTATTTTTTTAGGTTCAATTTTTGACATTCTCACTTATCTATGGACGACTATTGTTCAATGATTGCGAGTATCCCAAGCTTCTAAGTTATTTCTTTGTACCTCAAAACTTCTTTATGCTGCTACTCTTTTCCAATTTCTACGAAAAGGCTTACGTGGAGAAAAAAAGAGGTAAGGGTTAATATTTGTTATCAAAGAAAAATTTCAATTTTACTTAAAAAAATAATCATAATATTAATATTTATTTTAGGATAAAAACTTTTCCAGAATCAAAGAGATTGTGAATCTTATCTGCCAGACATCTAGAACACTTACTTTTCTGCAATCGTACAAAACACATTATTTTTCCATGTTTTTTTTTAATAATTGTATTATATATTATACTCTAATAAATTTTTTTATATTTTCCCTTTTAAATTGGTGTATTATTATGTGCAGAAATATAAACCAATATAAGCTAGCATCATTATTGCAAATTTCTATAACGTCAGCCACTAATAGTGACAACGTAATTTAAGGCAACTAATTCTAATATAAGACTTATTGCAAACCTGAAGTTTTAACATTAAAGTCCTTGTCTTTATTCATATTTTTACCCGCATTTTAAAAATTTTAAATTACAGTTCACCTGTTTTGTACATAATATGGAAGAGGCATTAGACATTATCATTTTAGAAGGTTTAAATCTGTTTAAATGACGATGATATTAAAAAACTTCAAACTGAAGTCGCCACTATTTGCTGTCCTTTAAACATTCACAATTTTAAGGACAGGCACAATCTTTAATAAAGTCAGTTCTAAAACGCAAATGTCAAAATAAGAGCAGCGCTAATAGTGACTGACTATAAGTAAACTTGCAATAACACTCTAAATAAATAGCTATTTGTGTATTAAGGCAGAAAGTAGCACGTTGGCAGTTGAGACAGAAAGTTGCCGCGCGACGAGTTAGCGAAGCACGGCAATCTGTCAAAACAGCCAAAGTACTTTCTGCTCGAATTACACACAAGATTTTTTTCTACGACCACACCAAAGTAAAATAAATTATTTTGTCCACGACCACTTAATAATAAATCAATATTTTAAAAGCATATGGTACCCATAAATCACTAGAGTGAATTATGATAATTCACACTTTTGTAATTCTGGCACATTCCGGTAGACAACTAAAGATGGGCGATACTTTTCATAACGATATTTTCTAGATCGAAAATCGAATAATCAAAAAATCGAAAAATCGAAAAATCGAAAAATCGAAAAATCGAAAAATTGAAAAATCGAAAAATCGAAAAATCGAAAAATCGAAAAATCGAAAAATCGAAAAATCGAAAAATCGAAAAATCGAAAAATCGAAAAATCGAAAAATCGAAAAATCGAAAAATCGAAAAATCGAAAAATCGAAAAATCGAAAAATCGAAAAATCGAAAAATCGAAAAATCGAAAAATCGAAAAATCGAAAAATCGAAAAATCGAAAAATCGAAAAATCGAAAAATCGAAAAATCGAAAAATCGAAAAATCGAAAAATCGAAAAATCGAAAAATCGAAAAATCGAAAAATCGAAAAATCGAAAAATCGAAAAATCGAAAAATCGAAAAATCGAAAAATCGAAAAATCGAAAAATCGAAAAATCGAAAAATCGAAAAATCGAAAAATCGAAAAATCGAAAAATCGAAAAATCGAGAAATCGAAAAATCGAAAAATCGAAAAATCGAAAAATCGAAAAATCGAAAAATCGAAAAATCGAAAAATCGAAAAATCGAAAAATCGAAAAATCGAAAAATCGAAAAATCGAAAAATCGAAAAATCGAAAAATCGAAAAATCGAAAAATCGAAAAATCGAAAAATCGAAAAATCGAAAAATCGAAAAATCGAAAAATCGAAAAATCGAAAAATCGAAAAATCGAAAAATCGAAAAATCGAAAAATCGAAAAATCGAAAAATCGAAAAATTGAAAAATCCAAAAATCAGAAATTCGAACAGTTGGAAAATCGTAAAATTGAAAAATCAACAAATTCAAAAATCGAAAAATCGAAAAATTAAAAAATCGAAAAATCAAAAATTCGAAAAATCAAAAATTCGAAAAATGGGAAAATTGAAAAGTCGAAAAAACAACAGTTAGTTACCTATGGTTAATAAAAACTTTCCATTCTACACTTAACTTTTATTTAATAAAGAAACCCTAATGGTCGTGGACAAAGTATAGTATTACCCTTGCAATTTTTTCACTCGGGTGAATGGCTACCATAAATTGCTCGTTTAATAATATACTATTATTTTATTAGAAATGGGCTTACCTTCTTTATAAAATTATAAGATTATTTGACATAAGCCTACTCTTCGAAAAGAAAAAAAATGTTTTAGTACGGTAATTATTTATGATTTAATCATTTAATTATTTACGGAAAATACTGTTGGATAATTTAAAATATTAGGAAATCAATTAAAGCATTCTAGATTAGCCTACATTTTGTTTTAAAATACCGATTAGCTTTCTTTTATTTAATTCAAATGAAAATATTCAAACGTTTGCAAAAGTTACTTTGACGCACGTGTGCGCCAATAATGTCAAATTATGACAGTTCGCGTTACACCGTAGGTCGTGCCGAAGAAGAAAAACTACTAAAACTAAAAGGATCATGTAATTTTTAACCGCTTACAAAACGTTTAATTTAAACACGAAATAGCATTGAAGTCTGTTATTATTATCAGCAATACCCTTTTTATCAACTCTGTCTCCCTCCTTAAACCCCCAGAAGTACCAGGCATATTGCTCGGGAAAAACCGTCCTTTAAAATTGTTTTGGATTAGTACCAACTTAAACTCGATTTTTTTGTGAAGAGCACACTTCGTCATAATGTCCAGAAACCAATTTGAGTTTGTAGGCGTGATCAGACAGATTTAAACGTGATCGAAGCCGCCTGCCTCTCATCACCGCTCATACAAGTTGAATTCAGTAGCATAGTGTAACTTATTTGTACTTGTTGCATTTATTTAGCTATTTTGAGTTTCTTGAGTTTGTGCTTCAATTTTTGAGTTTCCTGAGTTTTTGTACTTCGATTTGTATGTATATAAACTTTAATTTGTTATATTTTTTGAATTCCTAATTAATTTTGTGTATATTTTGGTAAGTACATTTACAAAACTATAAATAATAATCTCTGAAGAAACCGAATATCCTGAAATATTTTAAATACTTTTAAAACCAGATTTTTGTAACTCATATTTTTCTTATCTTAAGCGCTATTGCTGCGGTAATAAGATAAAATTCGACCGGTGTGAAGTTAGCAGTAACTTTTAGCAGTAAAAATAACCAAAAACACCCGATCGGGAAAACAGTGGCGTCAAGCATACAACTATTTTAATAATCTTGTCAATATATATTTTACACATAATTATCGACAAACAATTAATATACGGTTGAAAATAACCCTTAAAATTGATAAAAGTATTTATCCGACGAAGGAAATCAGATCGCAATTTAATTTTATATTTAAAAAATAAATACACTAACATACGCTATAGGTAAACATTTCTTCAGATCCGTTGAAGAGGGTAAAATGAACCCATAAAATTCAGAAAATAATTATCCTGCGAAGTGTATTAAACAGGGTGAATTTAACTCTTAAACTTCAAAATAAATAATTACCCTATGAAGACGATTAGATCCCAACTTGGTTTTACATTAAAAAAAGGATAAATATACTCATCATAGTACACTGTGAGTGAAAATCTCTTCCGACGTGTCAAACAGGGTGAAATTAACCCTTCAACATTAAAATAAATAATTACTCTATAAAGACGATTAAATCCCAACTTGATTCTAAATCTGAAAAATCATAAATACACTCACCAAAGTACACTCTTAGCGAAAATCCCTTCCGACCCGTCAAGCAGGGTGAAATTAACCCTTAAACTTCAAAATAAATAATTACCCTATGAAGACGATTGGATCCCAACTTGGTTTTACATTAAAAAAAGGATAAATATACTCATCAAAGTACACTGTGAGCAAAAATCTCTTCCGACGCGTTAAACAGGGTGAAATTAACCCTTCAACATTAAAATAAATAATTACTCTATAAAGACGATTAAATCCCAACTTGATTCTAAATCTGAAAAATCATAAATACACTCACCAAAGTACACTCTTAGCAAAAATCCCTTCCGACCCGTCCAGGGTGAAATTAACCCTTAAACTTCAAAATAAATAATTACCCAGTGAAGACGATTAGATCCCAACTTGGTTTTACATAAAAAAGAGGATAAATATAATCATCAAAGTACACTGTGAGTAAAAATCTCTTCCGATCTGTCAAACACGGTGAAATTAACCCTTCAACATTAAAATAAATAATTACCCTATGAAGACGATTAAATCCCAAAAAATCATAAATGTACTTACCAAAGTACACTGTAAGAAATACCTTCTGACCCGTCAAACAGGGTGAAATCAACCCTTAAACTTCAAAATAAATAATAACCCAATAATTTAATTAATAATTTTTTAAATTTAAAATCAAGTTGGGATTTAATCGTCTTTATAGGGTAATTATTTATTTTAATGCTGACCTGTTTGACAGGTCGGAATAGATTTTCACTCACAGTGTACTTTGATGAGTATATTTATTTATTAATGTAGAAGCAAATTGGTATCTAATCGTCTTCATAGGGTAATTATTTATTTTTAAGTTTAAGGGTTAATTTCACCCTGCTTGACGAGTCGGAACGGATTTTCGCTAACAGTGTACTTTGGTGAGTGTATTTATGATTTTTTAAATTTAAAATGAAGTTGGGATCTAATCGTCTTCATAGGGTAATTATTTATTTTGAAGTTTAAGGCTTACTTTCTCCCTGTTTAATACAGTTCACGGGATAATTATTTTATGAATTTTATGGGTTAATTTTACCCTGTTCAGTGGATCCGAAGAAATGTTTGCCTATAGCGTATGTTAGTGTATTTATTTTTTAAATGTAAAATTAAATTGCGATCTGATTTCCTTCGTCGGATAAATACTTTTATCAATTTTAAGGGTTATTTTCAACCGTATATTAATTTTTGTCAATATTTATGTGTAAAATACATTTTGACAAGATTATTAAAATAGTTGTATGCCGGACGCCACTGTTTTCCCGATCGGGTGTTTTCGGTTATTTTGACTGCTAAAAGTTACTGCTAACTTCACACCGGTTAAAATTCGTAGGTTTTATACATTTTATCACCAAGTTCTTAATATTTAAGGTATTGTACATGATATTTTTTTTATTGCTATATAGTAACTTAAACTACAGTTCTGTAGTATGAAATCAACAAAAAAGTATTACCATAACGCAAAAAAAAATTAAAAAAAGTCTGAGTATGATCACTGTTTTAAGGATTCGGTGAAGATATTATTATACTTCCTGGTCAATTCCTACTAGAACACCCTGTAGTTGCTGCAAAGCGCTGACAGTACACTAAGTTTAAAGAGAGAATAACTGATCCACAGCCCACACAGCTGGCCTATTCATTACGCTTCTTAGTGTCGACAGTGCATAGTGAGATTAAGTTAATCAGTGAATAATGAAAGTAAAAAATAAAAATACAAAAAGAGAGAAAATTAAAAAGAAGTTAGAAAAGTTGTTAGAAGTGTTTTCTTCAAGTTCATCAAGTAAGTACTATTGTATGTTTACCTTAATATTTTTCATCTCTCGATATTACAAATGTGGGGTTTAATCACCCCTAAAAATGTATATAGCGATAGGAAAATGAGGTTAAATCGCCTCTTCTTATATATAGGTTCAACCATTATAATATAATGGTTGCATTGTTTTTTCAAAAAGCGACAATATGCATATATGTAAAAAATCATCCCAATAGTATCTGGGTTAAATCACCCAAATATTTATTTGTATGTTTAGATAATAATTTACCATCTACCTAAAACATATCGCATTTCAACCGCTCGTGATTATCGATACGCATTCCTTTTTACGTAGTCATAACTGACAAAATAATTATTTACAGGCGAAAGTGAATCGGACACCTCGGCAAGTTTATCGAGGAAAAGACGGCGTATTATATCAGAATCAGATTCAGATTGTGATGAGGAAGAAAATACGACGCAAACTAAACATTCAGAATATGCACATATTTTGGGTGTTAATCCAGAACGAGAAAATCCTAAAGGAACGCCTATAAATAAAGAAATTGTTTTACGGTGGACAAGTTATTTAACTGAAGGATTAAATAACGACACTAAACAGGAATTAAAGAAAAAATGGGCCGTACCGGAAGATTTTCCTATTTTAAATGCTCCAAAAATAAATCCGGAAATTCAGCTGTTACTTAATAGTACAGAAATTACTAGAGACTCCATATTTTCCCATATACAAAATGAGATTGGCCTTGGTTTATCGGCTATGGGCACAGCCTTAAATAAAATATTGGATAATGACCTATCCAATATCAAAGACGATGTTTTGCCCGGCCTGATAGATTCTGCAAAACTATTTGCACAGGCGCATTTTTTATTAACTCAGCACCGAAAACATCAAATATACCCAACATTAAATACACCTATGCAAAAAGTTGCAAGAGAATGTCATTCAGATAGTGTGTTATTTGGTAAAGACTTTGCTGAAAAATGTAAATCAGCGACAGTCATAAAAAGTCTAATATGGAGTTAAAAGCTTCATCGAAACCTGCAGATTCCGTGCGACCAAACCAATTTAGGAATGATTTAAACTGGAAGCGCCCGTTCACCAAAGCTCGGTTCAAACAAGGCGTCAAAAACCCGAGAAATCAGGGGGGGAGCGCACAGGAACGTCCTCAGTGGAACCAGCCGAATCATCGCAAGGGGTCATACTACCAAGCTCGTCAACGCAACTACAATCCCTAAAGGTACTAGGAAAATATGCTGGAAGGCTTAGGAAATTTTCTGCTAAATGGGAAAATATCACTAACGATCCGTTTATTTTACAGTCTGTCCGGGGATATTATATACCGTTTAATTGTACTCCCATACAAAGAAAGTTTCCTGGACCGAAACAATTTACTAATATAGAAATTAGTGAGGTTAAGGAAAGTATGCAACATTTGTTAGCAATCAACGCAATACAGAAATGTGAATCAAAAAAGGGACAATTTATTTCATCTTATTTTCTAGTGTCAAAACCAAATAATAAATTTCGATTCATATTAAATTTAAAAGCTTTAAATACATTAATATATCTCCGCCACATTTCAAATTGGAGGATTACAGATCTGTTAAAAATATCATATCCCCAAATATGTTTATGGCTTCAATTGACCTTAAAGATGCTTATTTTCTTATTCCAGTACATAAAAAGCATAGAAAATATTTACGATTTATTTTTGAAGGAAAATTATATGAATTTTGTTGCGTCCCATTTGGATTAAATACGGCCCCTTTTTTGTTTACAAAAATCATTAAACCGCTTATAAAACACTTAAGATCGAAAGGATTTCTGTCAATAAATTACCTTGATGATTTTCTGTTGTTAGGGTCTACGAGGCAAGAGTGTTTAAAAAATGTAATTTCTACCATTTCCCTATTAGAATCATTAGGATTTATTATAAACTACGATAAAAGCAGTTTAATCCCTAACTCAAGCTGTAAATATTTAGGTTTTTTATTTGATAGTAAGGAAATGACTATCAAATTACCGTTAACAAAAAGAATTAAAGGATTGGAAGCTATTAATTTTTTTTTTTAAACTAAAGTCATGTAAAATTAGAACCTTTGCAAAATTAATTGGTCAACTAATATCTTTTTGCCCTGCAATAAAATATGGCTGGTTGTATACAAAGTTATTGGAGCGGCAAAAAGTTGCCGCATTAAAAAATAATGGCGGTGATTACGAAAATAAATTAGTAATAAACAAAATTATAATTCACGAATTAAAATGGTGGTTATCTAAAATTCCCCTTAGTAAAAATACCATAAAAATACAAAAATATAAATATGAAATATACTCGGACGCATCAATTACTGGTTGGGGTTTATATTGCAATGGAGAAAAGACGCATGGTTTCTGGAATGCCGAAGAATTAAATTATCATATCAATTATTTGGAATTATTAGCTGTCTTCATTGGTCTTAAATGTTTTGCGAAACATAGTAATAATTGTGCAATATTATTAAGAGTAGACAATACCACAGCAATTTCATATATCAATCATATGGGTGGAATAAGACACAAAAATCTGTCAGGACTTACTAGGGAAATTTGGCAATGGTGTAAAGCCAGGAATTTATGGATTTTTGCTACTTATATTGAATCAAAAAATAATATAGAAGCAGATTCTGAGTCTAGATCTAGATATATAGAAACCGAATATAGTTTAAATAACAATGCTTTTCAAAAAATTATTTCTTTAATTGGTATTACAGAAATCGATTTATTTGCAACACAAATAAACACCAAGTGCACTCGTTATATTTCTTGGAAAAGGGATCCACACTCCATTGCAATAGATGCCTTTACAATTGACTGGAAAAATATTAATTTTTATGCTTTTCCTCCTTTTTCCTTAGTAGCAAGAGTCCTAAATAAAATCATTGCAGATCAAGCGGAAGGTTTGGTAGTAGTTCCTTATTGGGAAACACAACCTTGGTTTCCGATTTTTAAAAGACTTCAAACCTCTAATTCTGTTTTCTTCTTTCCTAATAAATATTTATTAACCTCCCCTTTCAGGAGCAGCCATCCGCTTTGGAAAAGGATTACCCTGGTGGCAGCGAGATTATCAGGGGCTCTTTTTTATCTCACGAGATGCCTGTTTAATATTAAAATCGTCTCTAAGTAAAAACACCATGAAACAATATGATACAGCATATAGAAAATGGTGGATATTTTGTAAAAATTATAAAATGGACGTATACCAGCCATCCACAAATAGTTTTGTTCAATTTTTAAATGAACAATATAAGAATACATATAGGTCTGCTATTAATTTCATTATAAATACTAAGGTGGACGAAAAAATAATTAATAGATTTTTAAAAGGCGTTTTTAAACTCAGGCCAGTGTTTCCCAAATACAAAACTACCTGGGATCCGTCAATAGTATTAAAATTTGTAGCAACGTTTTTTCCTTTGGATACATTAACTTTAGAACAATTAAGTCTTAAATTAGCGACATTACTGGCACTTTGTACTGGCCATAGACTTCAAACTTTCTCGAATTGAAGTCATGATTTTTGATATTCTCAAAAACTCTGCGCCCTCAAAACAGCAACCTAAACTAGTATTACCCTTTTTCCCAGACAAGCCTGAACTCTGTATAGCATCAACACTCTTATTTTATATAGAAAGCACTAGAACAATAAGAGGTCAAGTATCCAATCTTTTTATTACTCATAAAAAACCACATAGACCAGCTTCGGTACAAACAATATCAAGATGGATAAAGACTACATTAAAACGAAGTGGGGTGGATACAAATGTTTTTACGGCATTAAGTACTCGCCATGCTTCTACTTCAGCAGCTTTTAAAGCGGGTACCAGCATTGAAACTATCAGAGTCACAGCAGGTTGGTCTAAGGAGTCTGAGACATTTTTTAGGTACTATAATCGACCAATTGTAGACCAGGGTGATTTTGCCAGAAATGTATTAGGATTTTAATAACCTTTATTATAGAAATATTTCTTTTACTGTATAATAAAACATTGGATTTCTAAGAATTTATTTCTTTTTGCCCTAAAAAACAACGTAAATTAAAATATTAAAAAAAAAAAGCAATATACCTACATAATTTTTATATATCTATAAGTAATTTCAGTATTGAATTAACCGTAAATCGCTAAATAACTTTAAACAACTACAGGGTGTTCTAGTAGGAATGGACCAGGAAGTATAATTTAAGATTAAACGACTTACCTGTAAGGAAGTTCAATCGTAATTATACGACTGGTCCATTCCGTATAGAACAAACCCTCCTCAAATTTTTTGGCCCACCCCGTTTTTTACGCGATTTCCTTATTTATAAGAAGCGTAATGAATAGGCCAGCTGTGTGGGCTGTGGATCAGTTATTCTCTCTTTAAACTTAGTGTACTGTCAGCGCTTTGCAGCAACTACAGGGTGTTCTATACGGAATGGACCAGTCGTATAATTACGATTGAACTTCCTTACAGGTAAGTCGTTTAATCTTAAATTATTTCTTGATGAAAAAACTGAAACTAAAATTAAACACTCAGATAAAACAAAAAAAAATATTTTTTCAATATAGTGGATTGATTATATAAGCGAGTTAAAAGTGTGCCCGTTAAAAACAATGAACAAACAAACAAAATTACCGATAAGTATATGCTCCGAGATTTCCAGCAGTGATACCAAACATTCATCAGATAATTAATAAGCCGGTCTTTGACATTGACCTACCTAATTTATTTATTATTTTATATTGACTGAAAGAAAATGGGTCAGTGCTTAAAAAGAATGCATAGAAAATGCATAAAAAAATGATGACCGCCAAACCAAGGTCAACGATTCAATGAAACTATATCTTGGCAATTGAAGATTCACAGCGCGCAGGTGGAGGAAAATTGAGGCCAAAATACAAAGAGCCTTACACTGTTGGAGAGGTATTAATACATGAAATATATCAACTTAACAAAAAGCGACAGCGAACAACTGTAGCCGCTCAAGATCAGTTGCTATGGTCATCGAAGTAATTATAAAAAAGTGAGTGAAAATTCCACAATATTGTATTAAAATATGTGTTTTCGTTAATTCAGAGTGGCAATCCTGTAGAAATCCCAGTGGAAAATAATAAATGTTGAGTATGAAAAGGAATATATATTTACTGACTTTTACAATTATCTGACACGTTGAGTACTTGATTTTCGTTCTTTTTTATTTCATTAGTAACTAAGTACTGACTACCTTAATCGGTACTAATTAACATTTTGTTCAAAACTTTAACAAATCCCACCAAATTTAACTTAATAAATTATGATAATAAATAGGAACTAGGGTTTAGTGTTGTAGCACTAGTGTTTAATGTTAGGGTGGCAATCCCACCAAATGTTCCTGAATAAATAATGATAATAAAGTTGCACTAGTGTTTAGTGTTAGGGTGGCAATATTACCAAATGTTCCTGAATAAATCATGATAATAAAGTAACACTAGAGTTTAGTGTTTTAGCACTAAGGTTTATTCTTAGGGTGGCAATCCCACGAAATGTTCCTGAATAAATCATGATAATAAAGTAACACTAGAGTTTAGTGTTGTAGCACTAGTGGTTAGTGTAAGGGTTTCAATCCCACCAATAAATAAAAAAGTAATTAGTGGCAATTCCACTCAGGTTAATTGAAAAGGTAGTTAGTGTCAATTCCACTATGTCTACTGTAATAGTGGCAATCCCACCAACGTTAATTGAAAAGGTAGTTAATGGCAACTCCACTAATGTTTACTGTAATGGTGGCAATCCCACCAAGGTTAATTGAAAAGATAGTTAGTGGTAATCCCACCAAAGTTAATTGAAAAGGTAGTTAGTGGCAATCCCACTACGTTTACTGTAATGGGGACAATCCCACCAACATTAATTGAAAGAGTAATTAGTGGCAATCCCACTAATGTGTACTGTAATGGTGGCAATCCCACCAACATTGGTTGAAAGTGTATTATTTGGCAATCCCTCTAATGTTTATGGTAATAGTGGCAATCCCACCAACGTTGATTGAAATAATGACTAGTGGCGATCCCACTATGTTTAATGTAATCGTAGCAATCCCACCAACATTAATTGAAAGAGTAATTAATCGTTTAGCGTCTAAAAAGAACATTAGTCATAATGTTCATAAGTCGTAACAGTAGTTCTGTTTTCGTATTTTGTAATTCCAGATATATGTGACGCAAGGACGCACCAGTTGAAGGATG